ACTCTACGGCACATAACAACAACATGTATTAGGTCACAAAAGGATGCAAAATGTTTTCCGTTTGACTATTATATATTCCACTGTAAAGTAATTTCTTAAAACGTACTTATTATTCCACAATTAAAAGTAGCTGAAATCTAAAACATAGCAAGTTATATTAAGATAGGGCCAGGATTCAATCTTGTTCATAAAATTGAAATGAGTCATGGTTCACTTGATGGTACCTACCAATATCACTCCATTAGGAGATTTTTTCCCCTATTATAACAAACATTTTAGCATTACTTTTGATTCCCTTTTTAAATAGATTGCATAAATTTAGTAATGAGCTCTAGGATGTCAGGAAGTGAGAATATGACACAGGATAAGAAGGGGTTCAGATTCACTGTTCATACAGTCACTATGAGTTATACTTGACTCGATGGCATCTAACAACAACTGAATTTTAAAAAATAAACTAGTAAAAGAACATCTACAACTTTGCTGTTATTCTTGTTGTTAGGTGTCATCCAGTTGACAACATGTCACAGAGATCCACTGAACCACAGATTTAAGCCTTGCCCTATTCTGTACTATCATTGTCTCTTGTTGTTGTTGTTAGTTTGTAGAAACAGATCGACATAATGACTACAATGGATTTAAAACATCATTGTCTCTGCCATGTATTAAGTCCATTGTAGTCATCATGTCAATCTGTTTCTACAAATCTATGTCTACAATCCAAATACTTAGATTTACAGAAAATTTAAGAGGAATTAATGAAAGAAAAGACTATGTATGAGTATACATGTACTAATGTTATTCACTCACAAGAATTTTTATGTTTTCCAGAGAGGATCTATATTGTATCTATCTTGTATGCACCAGAATTGATGACAATAAAACAGCCAGCACAAAAAAAAAAGATGCTAAATAAATGACTCAGTGAATGGGGGCCGGGGGGAGGAATGTAACCCTTCATTTTAACCCAAAAACTATATGCAATTAAAGATAGGTCACTTTCTTGGTTTCACCCACCTTATCCTTTTATTCTCCTCAAGACAATGAGCTGAAATATTCTCCCAAATCATTCCTGCCCCGAGCTACCAGATCCCTAGTCCCACTAGAATCAAAACATTCTAAATAGTAGTATTGAGGGAGAGAAAGGAGCTCTGGTGGCCTTGTTATAATAAAGAAATATGCTGCCAAAAAAAACACATGTGATTCAATCCACCAGCAGCTCTAGGGCAGGAAGATGGGAAATTTCCTCCTCTGTGTGATTTATCATCTCAAAAAACCTGCTAGAGGGTCAATAGGAATCAGTTCCAACTCAAAAATACATAGCAACAATAATAACAGAGAGAAGAGACTCAAACCCCATGTTTACATGTGTATTATT